TGTACACTGTGCTACACCTTACATCCTCCATGCTGCTCCTCTATGTACACTGTGCTAGACCTTACATCCTCCATGCTGCTCCTCTATGTACTCTGTTCTACACCTTACATCCTCCATGCTGCTCCTCTATGTACACTGTGCTACACCTTACATCCTCCATGCTGCTCATCTATGTACACTGTGCTACACCTTACATCCTCCATGCTGCCCCCCTATGTACACTGTGCTAGACCTTACATCCTCCATGCTGCTCCCCTGTGTACACTGTGCTACACCTTACATCCTCCATGCTGCTCCCCTGTGTACACTGTGCTACACCTTACATCCTCCATGCTGCTCCTCTATGTACACTGTGCTACACCTTACATCCTCCATGCTGCTCCTCTATGTACACTGTGCTAGACCTTACATCCTCCATGCTGCTCCTCTATGTACACTGTGCTAGACCTGACCCCCGCTCTCTCCCCTCCCCAGGTCTGTGGGGCTTCCTGTGGTTTGTCGGTTTCTGCTTCCTGGCCAATCAGTGGGCTGCAACGGACACATCGAAAATGTTAACCGGCCATGACAACGCGAGAGCCGCCATCGCCTTCAGCTTCTTCTCCATCCTGTCCTGGGTAAGAGGGACCCCGAATGTATGACTCGCAGGTCTAACCCACGGGGGTATTTTGTCTCACTTCCTGTCCCGGTGACACGAAGAACAGGAAGTGAGGAGAAATCTCCCCAATGGGAGTCAAAGGCACCAATAAAAAAGATGACAGAAGTGCCCCCCCCCCCTTTATTATTGTCGCTCAGTGTCCCCATTGGAGGGAAGTTGTCATCACTTCCACTCCCTGTGACACCCTGTCACCCAGACAGGAAGTGAGGGGAAAACCTTCCCCCAATGGGGACACAGCGGGGGCTCTAACCTACGCGTAGCAACCTCCGCACTCCAGCTGATGTACAACTACATTACATTGCAGAGACTCCCAACAGGGACTGGCATGGCTCCCAGTGGTAGAGGGGGGGATGATGAGATTTGTAGTTCCACCTAGGTTGCCTGCCCTTCCTCTAACCCAGGGGTGCCCATTAGGCCGATCGCAATGTCCTGTCCTCCCGCCGTGGGGTCCTGCCTGTCTGTCTGAGAGACTTCCTTCCTGTCTGTCTGAGAGACTTCCTTCCTGTCTGTCTGAGAGACTTCCTGCCTGTCTGTCTGAGAGACTTCCTGCCTGCCTGTCTGTCTGTCTGTCTGTCTGAGAGACTTCCTGTCTCTGTCTGTCTGAGAGACTTCCTGTCTCTGTCTGTCTGAGAGACTTCCTGTCTCTGTCTGTCTGAGAGACTTCCTGTCTCTGTCTGTCTGAGAGACTTCCTGTCTCTGTCTGTCTGAGAGACTTCCTGCCTGTCTGTCTGTCTGTCTGAGAGACTTCCTGCCTGTCTGTCTGTCTGTCTGTCTGTCTGTCTGAGAGACTTTGTGTCCTCAATTACTTTTTCTAGTTTAAAAGGGAAATATCAGGGGGGGGCTGTTTAGACCCCCAAATATTTCCCCGAACCCCCCCAACAGTAACAATGTCACACGGCTGTTGGGGGGGCTCTTTCCTCGGGCTGCGGGTCAGACGGAAAGGGGCGGGACAGGACGCCGGGGGCCTCTAGAACGCACTGGAATGCAAGCCAGCTGACTCCCTGCGGGAGGGGGCGTGGCTGTGTATTGAAGTCAATGGCACCGCAGCCACGCCCCTTCACCCCCCAACAGTGCGATCGCCCAGAACGTACGTGCCTGCATTCCGGTCCAGTGCGAGCTGCAAAAATAGTGCTTGCAGCACATTGTGCCTGCGTTCCGCGTGCGGGTCTGTCTGTCTGAGGGACTTCCTGCCTGTCTGTCTGAGGGACTTCCTGCCTGTCTGTCTGAGGGACTTCCTGCCTGTCTGTCTGAGGGACTTCCTGCCTGTCTGTCTGAGGGACTTCCTGCCTGTCTGTCTGAGGGACTTCCTGCCTGTCTGTCTGAGGGACTTCCTGCCTGTCTGTCTGAGGGACTTCCTGCCTGTCTGTCTGAGGGACTTCCTGCCTGTCTGTCTGAGGGACTTCCTGCCTGTCTGTCTGAGGGACTTCCTGCCTGTCTGTCTGAGGGACTTCCTGCCTGTCTGTCTGAGGGACTTCCTGCCTGTCTGTCTGAGGGACTTCCTGCCTGTCTGTCTGAGGGACTTCCTGCCTGTCTGTCTGAGGGACTTCCTGCCTGTCTGTCTGAGGGACTTCCTGCCTGTCTGTCTGAGGGACTTCCTGCCTGTCTGTCTGAGGGACTTCCTGCCTGTCTGTCTGAGGGACTTCCTGCCTGTCTGTCTGAGGGACTTCCTGCCTGTCTGTCTGAGAGACTTCCTTCCTGTCTGTCTGAGAGACTTCCTTCCTGTCTGTCTGAGAGACTTCCTGCCTGTCTGTCTGAGAGACTTCCTGCCTGCCTGTCTGTCTGTCTGTCTGTCTGAGAGACTTCCTGTCTCTGTCTGTCTGAGAGACTTCCTGTCTCTGTCTGTCTGAGAGACTTCCTGTCTCTGTCTGTCTGAGAGACTTCCTGTCTCTGTCTGTCTGTGTGACTTCCTGCCTGTCTGTCTGTCTGTCTGAGAGACTTCCTGCCTGTCTGTCTGTCTGTCTGTCTGTCTGTCTGAGAGACTTTGTGTCCTCAATTACTTTTTCTAGTTTAAAAGGGAAATATCAGGGGGGGGCTGTTTAGACCCCCAAATATTTCCCCGAACCCCCCCAACAGTAACAATGTCACACGGCTGTTGGGGGGGCTCTTTCCTCGGGCTGCGGGTCAGACGGAAAGGGGCGGGACAGGACGCCGGGGGCCTCTAGAACGCACTGGAATGCAAGCCAGCTGACTCCCTGCGGGAGGGGGCGTGGCTGTGTATTGAAGTCAATGGCACCGCAGCCACGCCCCTTCACCCCCCAACAGTGCGATCGCCCAGAACGTACGTGCCTGCATTCCGGTCCAGTGCGAGCTGCAAAAATAGTGCTTGCAGCACATTGTGCCTGCGTTCCGCGTGCGGGCGATCGCACTGCGGGTGAGGGGGCGTGGCTGCTGTGCCATTGACTTCAATGCACAGCCACGCCCCC